CTCTGTGGTGCAGTCGAGCCACTTGTTGGGTCCTGGATCTAGAGTCTCCTCAAAACACCCCTTGAGGGGAGCGAGGCCTGCGAGCGCAGGGCTCCCTTCGCCATTTTAGCGCGCCAGCCGTCACATGGCGGTGAGAGCAGCGCTTGGCCCGGCCGCTCCGCGCCGAGGAGGCAGCCAGAAATCTGCTGGCAAGCTCAGCCGCCCAGCCACGAGGAGCACCCGGGTACAGAGCCCCGAGCTCGCACCCACAGCCTCCCTCAGCCCGGACACGAGGGTGCTGGGAGCGGCTGCTGCCAAAGCTCGGAGCTCGGCAAAGGCCCCGCTGCTCCTTGGGCTGCTGTGGGTGGCAGAGGAGCGCTCGCTCTGCAGGTCCCCAAAGAGTCCCTTAGGAGCAGGGCGCGGTGAGGTGGCGTTGGCCGTGCTGGGTCAGGGGGTGCTGTGGGATGGTGGGGGGGGTACAGGGACATGGGGCCCACCCGGGGTTAGTGATGGCCCTGGGGGAGCAGAGACCGGGCTGGGGTGGTTTGGTATGGGCAAAAGTCCATGGGCGCACCTCGGGACGGGCAGTGGTGGGGGTCCCTGGGCTGAACCAAGGGCTGTGTGAGCACCTCTGCGGTACCAGGCGAGGGCTTGGCCTGGGGGGCTACCCAGAGACCAAGCACCTCAGGATTGGGCAAGTGGGTGCCATCTAGGAGACAAGTGAGGTCCCAGGGAGCCCTGAGGCCACGGAGAGGGGCTGTGGGGATCCGAGCTGGCCTCAGGCTGTGACCACCGGCCTCCGTCCTGCGCCTTGGCCGGGCTCCACCACTAACCACTTCCAGAGCTGCCGCGGATTTGTTGTTTTTAGAGGCGAGGAGGGGCCGTGTCCGGCCACGCGGTGCCCGTGGATGCGCGGGGGTCCCCACTGCCACTCCCCCCGTCCCAGCTGGATTGTGCCCCTCTCACTCCCATCACCCACACCCCAATACGTGGGCACGCAGCCACTTCAAAATGGGGGAATGCAGTTAGAAAAAGAGAAATGGAGAGAAGGGAAGGAAAAAACCCTGCGCCAGTCTCCAGGGGGAGTTTCTGCTCCCTAAAATGGCTGCCTGGAAAGAGCCAGGGGTGCGGGCACAGGGAGGCTGCTGGTGGTGAGCAGCATCAAGGCGGGATGGCATGGGGCGGGCAGCGAGGTGCCAGGCTGGCACGGGCTGGGCGGAGGGGACGGCGACAGCTGGGCAGGGAGACAAAATGGCTGATTCAGCAGCAGGGTTGAGCAGTCCCAGGGGCTGGGGGCACACAGGGGTGTCAGGCTGAGGGGTGGCATGGGGCCCACGTGGATAACTTGCCCAGCCAAGGATAACCAGTCTGGGAGCCACATGTGAGTGCAAGGGACTTGAGAAAAAGGAGATAAAAACAGGGAGAAAGGGAAAAATCCCAAGGCGGGCACGAGGGCTGGCAGTGGCAGCTGCGTGTTTTTGATGGTGTTTTTGGATTGTCTCAGCCATTTCCTGGCATCTGCCAACGCTGCCAGAGAGAAATGCCGAAGGCCAAGGTGTGGGAGGAAGAGGAGGATGGAGAAGCAGGGGAAAGAAAGAGTATGGGGGAGAAATACTTGGCAAAAGTTGTGGAAGGGCTTTGGGAGCAGCCAGGTGAGGAAGGATGCGCCTGACTGCAGTGTCTGGGTTGTGCCAGGCCACGCCAGAGCTGCTGAGCTGGGATATTTTTAGCCAAGAGGGAGCAGGGCCAGACGGGGCTCCAGGGGTCAGAGCAGGTGCTGCCCCAAGCCCTGCTGCCCTTCAGGAGCTGGGCAGAGGCAGGACAAGGTGCCACAGGTTATGCCATGCTCCAGTGACACTGCCTGGTGGGGTGGCACTGGGTCAGAGATAGAGGAGAGGGAGAGGGAGAGGGAGAGGGAGTGAGGCAGGAGCAGGGCCAGGTGACCATCACCTGGCCCAGAACTGGAGATTCCCTTCCTGCAAGGAGCAGTGCCCAGATCCTCCATGTGGGGCTGTCCCTGCTCCTGTTGCTGGCAGGGAGGGCAGTGGGGGCTGGTTGGTGAGTGTTCCTCAGTGGCTGGGGACACGCCAGCTTGGTGGTGGCCCCACTGTGTTGTGAGAGCTGCTGGGTAGCCTATGCCTCAGTTTCCCCCAGCGGGGCAATGAGGGGGCAGTCAGCTAGTGGGCAGCCTTGGCTCACACTGGTGTGGAGGCTAATGCTGGCATGGGGGGCTCACCCTGGTGGCTTTGCCTTTTGCAGATACAGAGCAGAGCAGCAGCCCCCGGACAGGCATTGGCTCGGACCAGGAGGACAGCAAACCCATCACGCTGGGTGAGCGAAGCAGGCAGGGCTTGGGCAAGAGAACGAGGGACACCCCAGCCTGTCCCCAGGGTCCCTGACATAGTAGGGGAGGGGACCCATGACACATAATCAAGCTGCCTGTGCACTGGTGTCCCCCAGTCCCTGCCTGGCCCCTGCAATGAGCTGGGCATAGCCTTAGCCTTGTCCTACACCCAGCACAGTCCCACTGAGGCCACAGCCCTTGGGCATGGCAGCTGCCATGGGGGTCCCATGGTGGGGGTGCAGCCCCAAGCCCTGCAGGCGCTCTCAGCCACAGGGAAACTGAGGCATTGAGCAGGTCTGGGGCATCTTCAGCAGAGGGGACCAGTTGGGATGGTCTCTTGCTGGAGCAGGGAGTGGAGACTGAGGAGGGGGACAGATGGGGATTTGAGGTGCCCTCAAGCATTGTCACAAGGCAATGCAGGATGGGAGAGGTGGTCCTGTTGCCCCCTCAGCACGCCCTGCTCTCTCCCACACAGATTCAACAGACTTCCAGGAAAGCTTCGTCACCTCGGGAGTGTTCAGTGTCACCGAGCTCATCCAAGTGTCCCGAAGTGAGTGTGACTGTGATGCCACAGCCCAACCCTCACCTGCCTGGGCACAGCAGCGTCCCTACAGCCCCCCCACCCCACAGTGGGCTGGGGCTCCCCTCCCCACCGGTCCTCCCTGACCCCACTCTCTTCCCACAGCGCCGGTGGTGACGGGCACAGGGCCAAACTTCTCCCTGGGGGAGCTGCAGGGCCACCTGGCCTATGACCTGAACCCCTCCAGCACCGGCATGAGGAGGACACTGCCCAGCACCTCCTCCAGCGGGTAGGTGCCACCAGAGCTGTGCCAGGGCAGTGCCAGGGCCAGCCCGAGCACGGCCATGGGGAAGGTGAGGGGCAGCCAGATCCTGCCACGGGCTGGCACTGACCTATGGCAAGCTGGGAGAACTGGGGGTGTTCACCCTGAAGAAGAAAAGGCTCCAGGAAGACCTCAGAACCCCTTCCAATGCTTAAAGGGGCTCCAAGAGAGCTGAAGAGGAAGTTTGGATAAGGAATGGAGTCCCAGGACAAGGGAATGGCTTCCCACTGCCAGAGGGCAGGGTTAGATGGGTTCCCTTCCTTGTGAGGGTGGGCAGGCCCTGGCACAGGGTGCCCAGAGCAGCTGTGGCTGCTCCTGGATCCCTGGCAGTGTCCAAGGCCAGGTTGGACTGGGCTTGGAGTGATCTGGGGTAGTGAAAGGTGCCCCACCATGGCAGGGGATGGAAGGAAATGAGCTTAAAGTCCTTTCCAACCCAAACCATTCCATGATTCTGTGACCCTCCCCTGTCCCCAGGAGCAAACGGCACAAGTCGGGGTCCATGGAGGATGACATCGACACCAGCCCTGGGGGCGAGTACTACACCTCCTCCAACTCCCCCACCAGCAGCAGCCGCAACTGGACAGAAGACATGGAAGGGGGTAGGTGTCACCTCTTTACCAGTGCCCTTCCAGTGCCCTGGGGCCCCCACCCTGCTCCCAGCATTCCACAAACCACTGCCAGAACCCCCTGTGACCATCTGGGGACCATCTGTGCCACGGTGTCCCTGTGGACCTTCAGGTCACAGGACGCACTGGATGTGGGGGCTGCTGTGCCATCCTCAAGTCCCCCAGAACATCCCTGCTGCTTTTCCATGGGGTCTGTGGGGCTGCTGTCAAACCTCCCTGATTTAGGCAGAGGCTCTCCATAGGTGCCCAGGTGTGTCCGTGGCCCCCCATTTTGGGTAGGGCTCTGTGGGGGCTGCAGTGTTGCTACAGGGAGCCCTGTTTCAATATGGGTTCTGTTTGTAGGGCCAATCCAGCCTCCAGCCCCACTCCTGATCCTGCAGCCCCACACCAGCCTCCCCAGGCCCCAAGTCAGCTCCCCCAGCCCCACATCACTGTGGACAGCTTTCTGGCTTGGTGTTTTTTTCCCCTTTCCTGTCTAGACAAGCCCCAATTAGCTGTTCATTAAGAAAGGGGGGCTGGGCTAATTAAAGTGATGCTGCAGGGCTGGCACAGCAGCTCCCACACCCTGAGGTGCAGGCGAAGAAGCTGCTCCTCTTCCTCCTCCCTTGGCTCTTCTCCTGCCTCCCCCAGCAGTGGGGTGGGCTCCATGCCAGCCCCCTGGCCCTGCCAGAGCCTGGGGGTGCCCAGCTGGAGGCATCGATCCTGTTGGAAGGAAGTTTGGGGGACACAGGTCCAGCCCCCAGATTGTGTCCCGTGTATGCAGGGACTGTGCCTCATCCTGCCCCATGGGGCTGGTGCACAGGGGATCCTGGGGAAGGTGCAGCCCCCTCCCCAAAATGGTGCATGGTGGCAGGAGGGAGCTGTGCCAGGGCATCTGTCCCCTGCCAGTGGCCTGACCCGGGCAGGGGTGAGGGCGGCTGGCGGGGGGCTCAGCCTTGGCGGCAGGGGGGCTTGGCAATCCTGTACGGGATGTTCTGGGAAATCCTCCTAACGCCCGGCTGAGAAAGGGCTAAACCCATTACCAGGCCCAGAGCTAAAGCCACAGCAGCAGGGGATTAATGTGCCTACCAACCCCCCCATTCAGCCCCATGCCCTGGGGTGGCCTCGGGGACCTGGGCAGCTGCTGCTTCCAGGGGTCTCTGCAGAGGTCACCCCCATACTGGCACCCCTCTGCCCCCCCAGGAGCTCCTGTAGCCCCAGCCCCATGTGCCAGGGGAGGTGGGTGCCATGTGGGGGCCGCAGGGTCACAGTGACACCCATGAGGGCACGCACTTCTACCAGCAGGATGGGACACACACGCACAGAGCTGTGTGCACGTGCATGCACACACCTGCAGGAACGCACACACAGGTACACAGAGCTGTGCTGGTACAACACATGCACGCACATTCATGCACATAGGTGCCCACCCTCCTGCCGGCACACACACCCTCACATCGCACCCTCCCCGCGCCCACCCTGACCCCGGGGTGCACCCTGCCCCCAGAATGAGCTCCCCTAACACTGCACTGAGATGGCAGCAGCCACGGGATTCGGGGTCCCATGGCAGGTCCTGATGTTGCACCCCGCTTTCCCCAGGCATCTCCCCCACCGTGAAGAAGACAGAGATGGACAAGTCCCCCTTCAACAGCCCATCACCCCAGGACTCCTCGCCCCGGCTGAGCAGCTTCACGCAGCACCACCGTCCTGTCATTGCTGTGCACAGTGGTGAGTGTCCTGCCAGGGAAACTGAGGCACGGAGTGAGGGCTGAGCGATCGGGGGGCTGGGGCAGCCACTGGCTAATGACACAGGCGTGTCCCCCCTTTTGCTGTCTCCCGCAGGTATCGCCCGAAGCCCGCACCCATCATCTGCGCTGCATTTCCCCACCACCTCCATCCTTCCCCAGACGGCCTCCACGTACTTCCCGCACACGGCCATCCGGTACCCGCCTCATCTCAACCCGCAGGACCCGCTCAAAGATCTCGTCTCGCTGGCCTGCGACCCGTCCAACCAGCAGCCCGGACCGGTAAGGACGCAGCCCTGTCCCCGCACCCATCGCTCGCCTTGCCGCGGGCACCGGGGGCCGCTGCTGCCCGAGGAGAGTCCCCTGGACCGGCACCGCCGCCGTCACCTCTGCCGCCGCATGGGGGGGTCGGGGTCTTCTGGTGGCACCGCTGGGACGTTCTCTGGGGCTGAGCTCCGGCCGTGCTGTGTGTTGGTTTGGGAGCACTGCTGCGCCTGCTCCATGTTGGCACCTCGTGTCTGCGGCGATTGAGGTGCTGTGCCCCAGCTCAGCACGGGGCACCGTGGGTGTTGGGGTGCTGGTGTTGAGCCGTCAGCTGGAGTTGGGGTGTTGGGGGGGAGTGAGGTGTCTGCCTGGGGTGTGTGACCATGTCCTGGAGTCACCATCCACCAGCGTGTCCAGGAGAGTGATGGGCTTGGTGTGCCCCATTCACCTGCAGAGCCCAGGGCTGACCCATCAGCTCCTCACCGTACCTGTGCCCCCAGTGTCCCCACGAGGGTGGCAGAGCCACACCGTGCTGCTGTGGGCCTTCCCTTGCCACAGCACCCTGCATCCCCGTGCACCCCGTGCACCCCACAGACACGGGCCCCCACATACACACACACCCAGCACCCCACACCCCACGCCCCCGTCACCAAACACTTTGTACCAGCACCGTGCACACCCAGCACCCAGTGCATGCAGCACCCAAACCATCACCCCATACACCCAGCATCCCCAACACACCCACCAGCACTCCATGCACCTCATGAACGTTGCCTTCTTAGCCAAAGCCAGAGCCTGGGGGTGTTCCTGCTTCCATACTGTCCTGTGCCTCCCTCTGTCCTCCCAGATGTGGAGGTTCTAGGGGAGCCCCTCTGACCTCTGCCCACCACTTGCCTGTTTCCCCTCACCAGAAGGGCCTGATGCCAGGGTGAGGGACATGGCTGCTGTGGCAGTGGTTCCTATGCAGTGGCTCAGTGCTGGGCTGATGGCCACCAGATCAGGAGCAATCACGGTGGGGCTGGGCACAGATCACTGGTGCAGGAGCCTTTGGAAGCTCTGGGTGCCCCTACCCCTCCAGGGAGTGCTTCAGAGACCACCCTGTCATTGTAGAGAGGGGTCCCAGCACCCTGGCTCCAGCGTGCGCCACTGTGGGTCATGACCCCCATGGGGCATGTCCTCCACAGCCCCCCAGATCCCTCCTGTCCCGCCGTCATTTCGTGCCTGCTGCCAACGCCGACCGTTCAGGGCCGCTCTGAGACCCAACAAACTCATGTCTGCAGTGAGGGGCACGCCGTGCCTGTGCCGGGGGTGTCCCCGGGGCTCCCCGGCCGTGCTGGTGTCCGCATGCGTCCTAATGGCTTGTGCTGTTTGTTTTTTGTCTGTGTTGTCCCCAGTTAAATGGAAGTGGTCAAGTGAAAGTGCCCAGCCACTACCTGCCCACGCAGATGCTGGCGCCGCCACCTCCCCCCGGCATGCCCCGCTTGGCCGTCTCTCCTGACACCAAATCCACCACGACAACTTCCGAGGGAGGGACGACCTCGCCGACATCACCCAGTAAGCACCCGCGGCGCCCACCCTGCTCCCCGGCCCGGCTGGCCCCCTCCTCTCGCAGCCCCCCAGGGTGTCCCCCCGTCCCAGTGCTGGGGGGATGTTGGCGGAGGTGGCCTCCCCGCAGCCGGGGAGAGGGCGGCAGCTGGCACGCCATGAGTTTGCTGGGTCTCAGGCAGGTCGGAGCGGACAGGGTTTGGGCAGGTGGCTGCTGTGGCCGCTGAGCCAGGGGGTGACGTGCTGGTCCCAGGGACCAGCTCGAGCCCCTTGTTCCTCTGAGCATGAGTGGAGCCACAGCAGAGCTTCCCAAACCAGTGTCCTGCCCAGATCCTCAGTGTGAGCTGTGCTGCGGGGGAAGCTGTGGCTTCTCCGTGTCTGTTTATCCCACCATGGCGGTGGCTGTGCTGCCGGGAACGGGGAGCAGCTGGCACGCGGGTGGCACTGGGACTAGGGACAGTGTGCCTGGTGCTTGTGTGGGCTGTCGTACTTTTGCTGCATGGGGTCCTTGGCGCCGGGAATTCTGGTCTTGTCGGGTATGTGGAGTGACACCAGTGCAGGGACTGTGTGCTGGTCCCCCAGAGCCCTTGGCAGGTGGCACCTGAGATCTTTGTTAGCACGGTGGCTGACAAACTCTTTGCCCTTTGCTCTACCTCAGGGGCCATAAGTGCCTTGGCCAGGAGGGTTTTGGGTGCTGGGCCAAACAGCCAGAGGGGAGCTGGTGTCACCCCAGACTGGCACTGGGGGTGTGTGCTGCAGTGAAGGGACACTGTGCTGTCGCCACACTCTGCCAGGGGGTTGTTCCTGTTCCCATCCTGCTGTACCCATGGGACATGGTTCTCCAAGTGGCTTCCGTGTCCCCACACAGTCAAGCCCTGCCTGATCAAGCCGTTACCCTGTCCCTGGGTAATGGGCCATGGCTGATTGCCAGAAGCTGGTCAGCAGGAGTGGCCATCCCACGGCATGGGGAAGCCAAAGCCTGGACGATCTGGAGGGGACAGCATGGGATGGCGTGGGGTGGCCTGGCTGATAATGGGGTCACAGCCTTGAGGAGGGACAGAGGAGTGCAAGTTCCTGCAGGCTCAGGATGCATTAGGAGGACATTGGCTGTCCTCAAGGGGTGCAGCTGGTTCCAAATCCCCCATTCCCTTTGGCAGTGTTCTGCTTCCAGCAGGGCTGAATGCAGAAGCTCAGCAGGGCTGGAGGTCCCCACTGCTGGATCCCCAGCTGGGGGATGGAGGTGGCAGCAGGGTGACATGGCCAAGTGGAACTGGTGGCTGCCATTGTTCTCCCCGTGGCAACTCAGCTCCAGAAGCCGCAGCGCGGGCACAGCCGAGAGCACCATCTGCGCCTGCACCCCGGGGCACTTGGCCCCCTCAGCCTCTGTCATCACCCTGAAACCACGGGTGGTACTGTCCAAGCACAGCACCCCTGGGTGCAGCACCCCTGGGCTCCATTCGCCTGCCATCAGGTCACAGCCAGGAACGTCACTCGGTCACCAGTGCCGGGTGCCAGGGAGCTCCGTCCCAGCAGTGCCAGGGAGAGGGCCGGGCCTGGCCCCGGGGGGGACAGTGGCAGTGCCACCCACAGCCCCGTTAATGAGCTCTCATTTGTTCCCCAGCCTACTCTGCACCAGGCACGCCCCCTGCGAACCGTTCCTTCGTGGGATTAGGACCAAGGGATCCTGGGAGTATCTATCAGGCACAGGTGAGAGCGGGGATGCTGCTGGGGGGACCCTCCTGCCCTCGCCCCGGACACCCTTGGCACAGCATCACCGTGGGCATCGCTGTGGGCATGGCCAGTGCTGGCATCACCCGTCGAGGTCGTCGCTGACGTGACAGTGCTGATGTGGGCATCCCTGCCATGGCACCCCTGCCGTGGCATCACTGCTGAGGGCATTGCCACCATGGCATCACTGCCGTGGGCCTTGCCACCATGGCATCACTGCCACGGCATTGCTGCCGTGTTTATTGTTCCTGTGGGCATTGCTGCTGTGGGCACTACCGTGGGCATCGCTGCCGTGGGACACTGTTGCTCTGGATGTAGCCTCCGTGGCCATCGCCGCTGTGGCTTTGCCACCATGTCTGATGCCACGAGGAGTGCCACCACAGCAGTGACATCACTGCTGTGGGCATTGCCACCACTGGCATGGCCACTGCAGACATTGCTGTTGTGGATGTCCCCACCTGACATCACTGCCATGGGTGTTGCTACTGTGGGCAATGCCACTTTGGGCACCACCGCTGTGTACGTCACCATTGTGGGGTTATTTCTATGTGCAATGTCACCACGGGCATCAGCACCATGACACTGCAGCTCTGGCACTGCCGGCTTTGCTGCTGTGGGCATCACTGCCTTGGCATCACCGCTGTGGCCCACGGGCATTGCTGCCATGACATCCTCACTACAGGCACCCGGTGCCAGGGCTTTAGGCACTGCTGGTGGCTCAAGGCCACCACCAGTCCTCCATCATAGAGGGAGGTCACTGTGTGCTCTGGCTGTGCCCTGCCTGGCACCACCTGGCACCACCCTGCCTGGGTGCCCACAACATCCCCAAAGGAGGAGCACCAGGGCCGTGGGTTCGCTCTCTGTGTGGGCACAGGCACCTGCTCTTGCTCGGCTGTGCCCGTGGCCACTCCAGCTGCAGCGGGAGGTTGTGTGTGCCTTTCCAGGGGCTTTCCATTAGTCCTGGGTTCTGGAGCTGGCACTGGTGCTGCAGGCAGTGCCATGGTGCCAGGACGGGGGTGGCAGCTCCTGGCCTCACTTGTGACATGAGTGGTCTGGCCTCAGCATTCTCTGCAGGGGCAGCTGCAGTGGCTGCAGTGCTGCCTGGCAGGTGACATGGGTGACCGGACAGAGGGATGGAGGTGTGGACAGTGCTGTGGTGGGGCACCCTGGGGTGCTGCCCTTGCCGGGGCGAGTACTCAGGGTGCTGTGCTGGGGTGTGGGCACCTGGGGGCTGTGAGCGGTGACACAGGGTAGCTGGGGGTGCTGTGCTGTGCCAGGCTGTGACATTTGGGAACCATGAGCTCAGACACCCAAGGGTGCTGTGCCGTTGCAGAGGAAAACATGGGGGAACTGGCTCTGATGACATTTCCCACTCTGCCTCAGTTTCCCCAGTCCTGCATATGGGGTGGACACCCCGAGGGCCTTGGGTCCCTAAGGAGGAGACCGCGGGCAGGATGAGGAGAACCTTGGAGGAGCAGGGGGCCAGAGTCTCCGTCCAGAGACAGGGGTCACAGCCACTCACAGTCCCAGGACCCCCAGGGTCCTGCATATGGGTGTCCCCCACCATATGTCCTCCCCAGTCATGCTCGGGGAGGCTCCCCAGGGCTCGAGGACACTCTTCCTGGGGAAACTGAGGCACGGGGGACGGAGGCAATGTCCCGGGAGGGGCAGCTGAGACCTGCCGCGCTCTGGTCATGTGTGGTGGGGCCTGGAAGGGTTAAGGGAAGCAGCGGCCCCGAGCTGTCTCGTTTCCAACGGAAACCAGACATGAGGTAATCGGGAATGAACTTGAACTTGGGGCTGGGG